TACCTGAATTTGAACTTGCACTCAAGTTGCCCCTCCGAGCAGAGATCGAACAGGTCAAATTGGCCTAACAGGATCTTGTCAAACCAAAAAGGATGAAAACATAACTCTACTTTGGTTCCACACGAACCGGTTTGCCTAAACCGAACCAAGGTTCGGTTTAGCCATGCCTAGTTGACAGCTATATAAATCTATTTCCTGACTTGTGCATGCAACCATCCGCACACAAGTTGCCCCAAGCATATTCTCTCCTGTGCCGATCTGCCCACTTCCACTGCAGCAACACATCTGGCACCAGCCTCACTTGTCCTGCTGCTGACAGCACCACCTGCGCCCAAACCTTATCGCCAAAGGCGGCCTTCTGCCAAGATTGTGGCACCACCTGTTCTGCATGCCAGCAAGAAACAGGTTAGTGGGGTTCATGAAGCGGTGCCTAGTTTACTTGAATCACCCCCACTTCTGCCATGCTTGTGCTGTTGTGAATGGCAGTTCATTCTCTTTGCTCAGATTACATCGAATCTCTTTGCTCAGCTGACATGCTTTTGTTGTGCTCATGCAGCAGCAGCAGCAGCACCAGCAGCACCAGCAGCACCAGCAGCATCTGGAGGTGGAGGGGGTGTATCAGTGGGAGGCATCATCGGCATTGCTGTTGCTGCTGTGGTCGTTCTCCTCCTGCTTCTGGCTGCCATGTTGCTCTGCTTCAGGCACCAGAAGCGGCAAAGCTCTAAATGTAGGAGACGCAGGATTGGTTCTCGATGTGTTCAGCTCAGCTCCCACCTCCACACCTTCTCAACGTTCCTTGTTAAGATGGTTCATCTTCATGTCTACTCATTTTGTATGCGTGTGCTCGATAACAACAAGGCAAGACAAGGCGAGGGCTCGCTCATTACCTCCTCACTCTTCGCCCCCCACCCCACCGCCATGCCCAGGGGCCAGCCTGGCAGCGGCACACTGCACGGAGTTGTCACTGGAGGAGGTGCTGCAGGCCACCAACGACTGGTCGCAGGACAACCTGCTTGGCTCGGGTGCCTTTGGTGATGTCTACAAGGGCGTCTCTCCCCGCGATGGCACCACACCCTGGGCAGTCAAGCGTGCCAAGCTCATTGGCGCGGACTTTCAGAAGGAGGTGAGTGAGCTGCACTGCACTGGACAACATGGTCGGTATGATCCTCGAAAGAGGACCTAGTGGTTTGAGTGTGATTCCTCTTTCATGCTGTTTGGATTTTGGAACCAGGCTGCTCTGCGTGCGTGTGTGTGTAGCATAGCCTCTCTTTGTGGAGGACCCACTACTACTACTTTGTTTGGAATCCTGCTACTAACTCAGGGAGAAGCTGAGCCAGCCATGTGTGCCCTCTTTGGCCTTTCTTCATTGGCCTTCTCTTCTGCTTTCAGGTGGAGCAAATGGCCAATAAGAACCATCCCAACATTGTGTGGCTGCTTGGGTTTGCTGTCGGAGGGGACATGCGGACGCGGCCAGAGCAAGTGCTGATCTACGAGTTTGTGCCCAACGGTGACCTCCACAAGTGGAGAGATCAAAGTATGTGGTTGGGTCAAAAGTTTGTCCTGCAACAGCGGGGTTCATTCATGGGTGTTCTTCCTCCCTATTGCGCGGTTCAGATTGGAAACATACCCAGCTGAGCTGCAGTATTCGTTCTCCGTTTCAGCGAGTCGGTTGCGAGTCGGCCGCGAGTCGCTGCGTGGCATTTTTGTGTGCCGTGCTCATGCCGAGATAGGTGAACTAAAACCACGACTTTCGGAACAAGCACTCACATTTGGGCCCAAAACGAAAAACCTCCTGTCGTCTTTTCTTTTTTCCAAATCTGAGTCCTTCTGAATTTTATCCTTAGTTGTCAACATAGCACCCAGAAGCTACAAATATCTTGATTCAGAACATTCTCTGCTGGTTAATCACCTATCTCTGAGATCCATCCATTGAGTTAAGCTTCATCCCCTCGCTTACATCAAGCTTAGTATTCTACAAGTTAGTATTATTCACAGGCAAGCCCCTATCAGCTTGCAAGCAGGGCCGCTTAAGGCTAGCCCTGTGAGCCCCTTCGGGTCAATGTCTATGGTGCAAGTCGCATGGAAGTGCCATGCCAAAACTGGTGGGCTCTTCTGTCCTGGTTGCCTTTCTCTAAGCTGGCTCGGCTCAGATGGGGAAAGGGACGAGCCCACCTCGGCTCGTGGCGCACCCCGTCTGTTCAGACCGTTGCTGCAAAGGATGGGCCTCTAGGTTGTTAGGTTCCTCACTGCATGTACTCCATGACTTGCTGTAACCCCAGCTGTTGTCTTGCAGCTCATTCTGCTCTTTCTACTTCTTGTTCCTCCCCCACCTTCTCCTCTCCCTCCCCCCCTCCCTCCCCCCACCCCCCCGCAGAAGCATCACAACCCTTGAGCCTTCAGCAGCGGCTGGACATTCTGATCGGCGTTGCACGTGGCCTTGAGCATCTCCACAGCTTCAAGATTGTGCATCGCGACATCAAGCCCGCCAACATCCTCATTGGGGATGACATGCAGGCAAGCTCTCGTCAAACACACACCACATTGTAACAGTGAGGCCAGTGCGGACATGCCATTGAGGACAGGCCAGTGAGGACAGGCTAGTGAGGACAGTCTAGTGAGGACAGGCCAGTGAGGACGGGCTAGTGAGGATAGGCCAGTGAGGACAGGCCAGTGAGGACTGCGGAGAGTCACTACACAACGGGAGTGGACTACGGAGGAAGGCACGGGGTTGTGTGGGTGATCGTAGCGTTGCACTAGGCGTTCTCACTATTTGCTGTGTTCACAAAGAGACTTGGCAAGAGTTTCACTAAGAAACTGAGAGAACATTAGATTACAATGAGGCATGCAAGTCGATATAGCTAGAATGGCATTGCAACACCTAGCAAGCCCTCTGCATGGCGAACTATGCCAGCCCAGCAGAAGAGCGGCTTGCCAACGCTGCTGCAGAGTAGTCTGCCAGCGTGGTATAGTAGCGGTCTGCCAGCGCCGCAGAGGCAGGTGAACTTCTGCGCATGTGCGCACCTACCAAGTAGGTGCAGGTAGAAGGACGCGCCGCTACGCACATTGCGCAGGTGCCAGGTAGAACACGTGCCGACGGTTTCGCTAGCAGTGCACCGTCGAGCACGTGATGCCGTTCCGCAGCTTGACTTCGCGAAAACCTCCTGGGCGACATTCGCCCATATGACGAATTTCGCAGTCGCGCGACTTTCGTAGAGTAGCTCGACGAATGCTCCGTCGAGCAGCTTTCGCCTAGACGAGCCCTCTACCAGCCTCGTCAAGGAGCTCCTATACCAGCCTTGTAGAGGAGCTCCTATACCGACCTCGTCGAGGAGCCCCTATACTGAGAAGGTCCCGTCGAACCGAACTCCTCGACGGACTCGTCGGCCAGCGTCCTCTGCGAGCCCGTCGACCAGCGTCCTATACGAGCTCGTCGTCTGCGTCCTCTGCGAGCTCGCAGACCGCGTCCTCTGCGAGCTTGCAGACCGCGTCCTCTGCGAGCTCGTCGACCAGCGTCCTCTGCGAACGCGTCGAGGTCGAACTATACGGACATGTCGAGGTCGAACTTTGCGGGCTGGTAGAAGCCGAATTCTACGGACACGTTGAGGTCGCTTTCTGCGCGCAATCTACGTCGACTTCTGCGCGCCCCCGACTGCGAAGTCTGCTTCGTCCAAGCGAGGGTGGGGCCATTTCCCGTCAACAAGGACAGGCCAGTGAGGACAGGCCAGTGAGGACAGGCCAGTGAGGACAGGTCAGTGAGGATAGGCCAGTGAGGACAGGCCAGTGAGGACATGCAGTGCGGACATGCCAGTGCGGACATGTGAGTGGATAGTTGAGCTACTTGGTTGATTTGAGACCAAGGCATGAGCACAAGGCAGACCTAGGCCGGTCCGGTTGGGCTGTGACGATCCGGCCTGACTCGGCCAGCTTTTTAAGAGGTCAACCTGCGGCCCGCCAGAATATGGCAGGCAGGCAGACTCCTGCCTGACGGACAGGACTGTAGTAAGTAGGCAATCATTCGTGCGGATCAACGGTTAAAATATGCCGACTGGCGTGGATCAACGGTACTCTGAGCCGATCGACGAACGAAAATGTGCATCCTCTCATATCGACGGTCAAGATGCATCGATCCACGCAGATTGGTGGTCTGCGGTGCAGACCAGTGGTCAATGGCTTGATCTACGGTTGATGTGGTCAATCGATCCAATAAGACAGCGGGTTGGTCGACCCGAGTTTGGGTCGGGTCAAACCGACCCGCCCTCAGTTCACAGCCGAGCCGACACCCATAGGTCCGGGTTGGGTCGGGCGCAGGCCTGGGCTCCCGACGATTACGGGTCGACTTGATCCGGCCCAAACCCAACTCGGTTCGAGGAAATTCCGGTTCGAGGAAAGTCCGGTTCGAGGAAAGTCCGGGTCGAGGAAAGTCCGGGTCGGGTTGAAAGTCTGAGTGCAAGGACCTAGACGGGTGGCATTGGGAGTGGATGGAGGGCACGTATTGTGAGGGAAAGAGGAAGCAGCATCTTCAGTTTAAGGGCACAAAAAAGAAGGCGGCTGAAACGGAGGCATGTGACAAGTTGAGTTCACATGACTGTATTGAATTCACTCAACTGACTCAATTCACCCGATCCCATGCATTTCATGTCAACTTAAATTGAAAAAGGTGTTGAACCGGTTCTGCTTGACGCGGCTTTATTCAAGATATTAAACTGACTCAAGCGATTCGATTCGAGTCGCACTTTGGACGGTTTGAGTCGATCGAACCTGGGCTCAAGTATAAGCACAAGAGGGGGGTGGAGGGCGACTGAGGCACCAAGGACTCACCTTGAGGAAATAAGACCCATAGTAATGGAGAAGGAAGAAAATCTCTCCAAGGAGAGGAATATTTGTACAGCATACAAGTCCGTTTTCAGAAATCAGCTCAACGTGCCCTTGCAGGCAGGCCTCAGGGCAGACTTTTTCTCTACCTCTGAACAGGTCTGTCTGGGCCAGCCTGGTCCGGACCAATGATCAGGTTTCTACCATCGTACTTGTGGTTTGATTCCTGCCAATCATCTATGTCTTTTGCCTTGGCTACATTGGTCCTGCACCCACCAGGCCAAAATTGCAGACTTTGGGGTTGCGAGGATGGTAGAGGGCACGACAGTGGGCAAAACTCAACACGCGGGAACTCCGGGCTATATGGATCCGGCTTACATCAAGACACACAGGGCCACCACAGATTCAGATGTCTACAGGTGAGCTAGGATCCCCATGGAGAGGCATAACAGTGATAATACACCATTCCAAGTTTGTGATTGAAGGAACTTACTCTCACCGTGCCTGCGTATGTGGTTAAGATTTGTCACCACTGCTGTCTGATTGCTCTCAACGTGTCCCTCTCTGCAGCTTTGGTGTGCTCATGCTTGTGGTGCTCTCCGGACGCCCTGATCCCACCGACTGCGATGGCAACGGCCAACACATCCTGCAGTGGGTACGTGGCATGCCATGCCATGCCATGCCATGCCATGCCATGGCCGAGTGCCCTGTAGACTAGCGTAACTTCACAGCCTGCACAAGTGGTGACTAGCTCGTTTTGGGATAGGAAAATGCTTTCTCAATCCAGCCTGCACAAGTGGTCAGCGTTGTGTTGTGATCCGCATGACTGATATCCACTCCCCATTACTCCATTCTTGAGATGTCTCAAAAGTCCGCATGACTGATATCCACTCCCCATTACTTCATTCCTGTCGCTTCTGTAGCAACCTATTTGATCCCTCCCATCGCTTCGTCCTGCACTATTCTCCCTTCTGATTTCTCCAGCCTGTACCCTATCCCACCATTTGCACGCCCTCAGGCATCTGAGTGCCTCGCCTCGGGTAATTCAGCGAGCCTCAGGGACCCAACCATGGACGCCCCTGATGATGCGGTGCTGCGCGTGGCTGAGCTGGCAGTGAGCTGCACCGTGGAGCGCACTGCAAGCCGCCCAAGCATGGCGCACATTGCCACCCAGCTGCAGACCGTCAGGGAGGAGGTGGCGGGGAAAGAGGAGCTGCGAGAAGCACTCAAGGTGGACACGGAGGTGGAGGAGATGAGGGAAGATCCTCCTGGCGATCTTGACGAGGAGCTCAAGGAGATTGGCGTGATCCTCTCAGGGAGATTGCCCTTGCCGGGTCAAGATCGTGCCGAGTGAAGTGCCAGGGAGCCTCTGGTGGATTCTTCAGCACCGGCACGCTCTCCAGATCTTCAGAACTCCAGCTCTCTAGTTCTCCACCGCTCCAGCTCTGACGTTGCGTGTGAAATCAGCTGCTTTAGTGGTTAGGCTCAATGGCATGCCTTGCTTGCAAACAGCTTCTGCTCGGATTGTTTTGAGCTGACTTTTGAGTCGACTCAATCAAAGCTCAACAATCAGCTTCTGCCCCGATTATTTTGTGGGTGGAACTGACAGCAGGGCCCAAAATATCAGGGTAAAACGCCCTGATTACCCTGGGGGCCTGTCCCTTTTTCAGGATTACCCTGCCGAAATCAGGAATGCTGGTTAGTTACCCTTCTCTAAAAAGTGCATGTTTTGTTTCACCCTGATAGGATATTGTGTTAGCCTGACGGAATCAGGGTAGGGTGTATACTACCCTGTTACCGAATCTTTCGTAACGCGAATCAGACCACACTCCGCCCGGCGCCAAAATGAACCACACCCCCACAAACACCGGTTGTCCCTTGTGAGCACGCGTTAAAAACCTTGCCACGCTGTCGGCAACGCGCCATGTTGCAACATTTGCTACGTTATTATGCGTTCAAAAAACACTTAGCTCTCAAAATGGTAATCAAAACAGGATTAGCTGGAAAGTACCCTGCTCAAATCAGGCTAGTGGTTGAGTTACCCTGCTGCAAACAGGGTACGGAAAATTTTACCCTAGGGGTCTGTTCAAGGAGGGGGTGTTACCCTAATTTGTAAGGGTAGGTCAAAACCAATTTTGGGCCCTGACTGACAGCCTAGGAGGAGGTAATGAAACGTGAGACATGATGTGCAGAATTTGTCAACCACATCACGCCTGCTGTCTGGTCTGCAGTCTTCTCAAGAGCCATGATCTTCTCCGTGGACATGGGAAGATCATGGCTCTCGTACCGAACCTGTGTATTATTCTCGTAATCTGGCCAACTTTCTCTCGTACGCATGGGAATGGAAGGGCAGGGGAGGGGGGTCAGCCTGACTGCCATGGAAATGAGTATGTTAGCAGCTGAAACAACCAAGAAAGGCATCGTCAAGGAGCCAGAGCTTCCATGCAGTAGCTAGCATCCTACTATCATTTGCACACAACACTACACTACAGGTAGTGATACCGGGGTAAATCTTTATGAAATCACCACAACAATTGACACAAGCACCTACTTTCAGGCTTCTCCCCACTCTCCTCTCCTCCCCGCGCTGACTTCTCATATTCGAAAGGTTAGCCGCTCCTGAGTCATGACTTCTGATTAAACACTCCTCTCCTCTCCTCGTGCCTGCTACCTCTCGTACCACCACCAGCGTTGCCACACCCCTGACAGTTCTCTCACGGTTACTGCCAGCCACTCTGAAATTAACACCAAACTGCACCACCAAGTTTAAGTGTGGTTACATAAAAAGCAGGCTTTTCCTGTTTTCCCAAGCCACAGCCACAACCACAGCCACAGCCACATTTTCTCTCTTTCCAAGACACATCGTAAACCTCTTCCTTGCAGGTACGCTGCTTCTGCAATCCGCACCACTCTCAACCGCCTGTGATCATCACTGCTACTGCTGCTGCAGCATTCCTCCTCCTGCTGCCGGCATGGCTCTCTGGCGCCTAGGGCTGCCAGACCAGAGGCCATGTGGGAACAGGGCTTGGATGGGGGAAGCAGGCCGTGGCAAGCCTCGCGCCGCTAACGATGAGGATGGAAACGAGCTGCTACCATCCGTGGAGAATCCGTCACCCCTTGAACAGCCGCCTTCACCTCTGGACTCACCCATGCCCACCACCTTGCTCCGCGCGCCACCTCCACCGCTGCCCACCCAGGCGGTGCTTCTGCCGCCGCCGCCGCTGCTGCTGCTGCCATTGCCGCTGCGGCTGCTGGGGAAACTACCATGAGAGATGAATGAACCAGACTGCAAACTGCTGCTGCTGCTGCTGCTGCTCGTTGCAGCCGCAGCTGAGATCTTGGCGCCACCTCTCACAGCAGCAGCAGCAGCAGGTGAAGGTTCAGAAGACGCAGCCGGAAATACACGGCGCGGAGAGGGATAGCGAGGGAAGTGGAAACCCGAGAAGGCGGAAGGGAGGGAGGACGGTAGGCGCCTGCTTGTTGATGCAGAAGGTGCCTCATCCACATCTGTGAACTTGGAAGTGTTCCCCTCTACAGCTACAGGCACCCCCCTTCCGTTCTCTTCCCGTTCCCCAGCTCCCACACCTCCTCCGCTTCCTCCCCGTCCTCGTTGCTTCCACGGACTCATCACCCCTCTCCACCTTCTACCCTCCCCCCTCACAGTCTCACCATCCCTTCCCTCTATTCCTACTCTCCCCTGCTCTGCCACGGACTGCTTGCCAATTTCCTCCTCCCCATGCTGCTGCTGCTGCTGCTGCTGCTCCGGCCAGCCCACAAGAGAATACACAATTGACTCATCGGTCTCATGCTCATGGCCTCCTCCTCCTTCTCCCTCCTCACCATCTGCTGTCTCCAAATGTATGTCAGGGATGGCAAAGAGTGGGAACCCACGCACCCCAACACCACGCGACCCTGCTGCTGTTGCTACTGGTGGTGGTGGTGCTGCTGCTGCTACGGATACTAAGGATGCTCTATTTACTCCTGAAGTGGATTCTTGTGGGTGTGGAAGGGAAGAGGAAGCAGCACTAGAGGACCCCCTCCCTCCTGACCGACGCTCAGAAGAGTTGAGGCGTGAGAAAGATGATAGATTGGGGGATGGGGAGGGGTGAGAGGAGGAGCAGGTGGAGGAGGAGGGAGGGGGTGAGAAGAGCGGCGAGGAGGCGGAGACAGCAGAGAGAGAGGCAGCGAGAGGGGCAAGGGAGGACGAAATGGAGACAGAGGATTCAGCAGAGCATGTGCGAGAGAACAAGAGGGATCCAGTTCTTGTTCCCAATCCAGCAGCAGCAGATACAGGAGCAGCAGTAGCAGCAGCAGCAGGAGCAGGACACAAGGCACTGGTAGTGTTGCTCCCAACAGCAGCAGCAGAAGTAGTAGCAGCAGTAGCAGGAGAAGAAGGCGGGGGTGAGGGAGAGACAGCAGGCGGAGCATGTGCAGCAGCATGTAGCAGCGGGTTTGTAGCCCTTCTGCCCCGGTGATCAGAGTGGAGGGAAGAGCGTAGGCTATGCAAGATGGACGAGGCCCGCTGCAGCCACTGCTTCCTCTCCACCACCTTTCCTCCTCCCCCATCCCTCGTCCCCTCCCTCATCCCCTCCCTCGTCCCCTCCCTCGTCCCCTCACTCACCACCACCATCCCTCCACCACCTCTCATCCGGCCTGTCTCAGCCTCTACTCCATTCCCACTCTTGCCTGCTGCAAGGCTGTTCCTGGCCTGCCAATTTTCACCGCCAGCTTGCGGCGTCTTCCACTCTTCTCCACCATCCAGCTGACCGTCTTCCTCGTTCTCACTCACCCTCTCTACCACACCCCTCCACTCTCTGCCCTTCCCAGCAACAGCATGCCTCCCTCTCGCTTGCTGCCTTTCCAGCTCCTCCTCCTTCTGCCTCAACGTCTCCCTCTCCAACGCCACCTGCCTCTCTCTCTCCCTCACCCTTGCTCTCAGCCTCGCAACCTCCTCTGCAATCCGCTGCTGCCTCCGTTGCTCCTGTGCCGCTTCCCCATCCTTCTCTTCCTTCCCCGCTCCACTCTGCGCCCCCCCCTCTGTCTCATCACCAGCCGCTCCTTCATCGCTCTCCCTCACTCTCAACATTTTTTCCTCCTCTTCCTCCTCCTCATCCTCATCCTCCTCCTCCTCTTCCTCCTCCTCTTCTTCCTCCTCCTCTTCTTCCTCCTCTTCCTCCTCCTCTTCCTCCTCTTCCTCCTCGTCCTCTTCCTCCTCCTCTTCCTCCTCTTCCTCCTCTCCCTCCTCTTCCTCCTCTTCCTCCTCCTCTTCCTCCTCTCCCTCCTCCTCTTCCTCCTCTTCCTCTTCCTCCTCTTCTTCCTCTTCCCCCTCCTCTTCCTCCCCTTCCTCCTCCTCTTCCTCCCCTTCCTCCTCCTCTTCCTCCCCTTCCTCCTCCTCTTCCTCCCCTTCCTCCCCTTCCTCCTCCTCTTCCTCCCCTTCCTCCCCGTCTTCCTCCCCTTCCTCCCCGTCTTCCTCCCCTTCCTTCCCGTCTTCCTCTTCCTGCTCCAATGCCTCTTTCTCTTCTCCCTCTTCCTCTTCCTCGTCCTCTTCCTCGTCCTCTTCCTCTTCCTCCTCCTCCTCCTCCTCCTCCTCCTCCTCCTCCTCCTCCTCCTCCTCCTCCTCCTCCTCCTCCTCCTCCTCCTCCTCCTCCTCCTCTGCCTCCTCCTCCCTCCCTGCAAATTCCACTTCATCTTCATTTTCACACTCCTCTTCCCCGTCTACCTCTTCCTTTGACGCGTTCTCCCCTTGCTCCTCTTCCTCACTCTCTCTCTCCTCCTCATGCTCCTCATATTCGTAGTCATCCTCCTCTTCCTCTTCGTCCTCCTCATCCTCCTCCTTCCCCACCGCATCTACCTCTGCTTCCACATCGTCATCCTGGCATCTCAATCCGCCTCTCCCCTCACCATCTCCCATCACCTCCACATCGCCATCCCATTCTCCTCCTCCTCCCACACCCACCTCCTCCTCTCTCCCCTCTACCTCTCGCTCAAAACCGCACTCCACCGGCTTCAACTCATCCCCAGCACCACCTCCCCCCTCTTCACAATCCCTCTGCGAGCCCTCACATGCACCCAGAGCCAACCGTTTACATCCCTCCATTTTAGTCGACTCAAAAGTCCCCTCACATGCACCCAGAGCCAACCGTTTACATCCCTCCATTTTACCACCTGCCTCCTCTCCCACCTCCCCAAGCAGCACCTTCCTGGAAGCTCCCACCTGCATGAGATCCAGAACTGCCTGAATCACCCGCAGCGTGTCACTCCCTGCTGCTGCTGCCTCCTCCCCTTCCCCTACCTCTCCCTTCTCCTCACCGTCTGAACCAGCCCAGTAACCACCACTCGCAGCACTGTAACCGCCTGTACTTGTGGCAAGGGCGCTGCTGCTGCTGCTGCTGCTTTTGAACCCAACCAGACTCGTGCTGCTGCTGTGAGAGCCAACTCCACTTCCCTCTCCCCCCCCTTCCCATCCCTCACCTCTATCTCCTCCATACAAACCCCCTTCTCCTGCACCCCTCCTGGTCTCTCCCACACCAACCCCAGGTAACAACCCCCCACCACCCCTCCCAAACCCCGTCAGCACCGCTCCTCTTCCTCTCCCCAGCCCGCCTCCCTCCCCCCCTCGCCCCTCTACTCCTCCCCACGCTCCTCGCCCCACACCTCCTGGATGCGCCAGGCGCGGGTTAACAGCAGCTCTGAGGCGCATCACGGCCTGCACCCACTGCTGCCTCTCCTTCACCTGCGCCCCTCTCTCCCGCCCTCTCCTCTGCCGCTCCACCTGCACCTGCTGCTTCAGACCTGCGCTCACATGCTCCCTGACTGCGGTTGACTGCGATAGCTGGTGGTTCATTTTATTGTGGAAAAAGGGGAAGAGAGGGTGAGGAAAGGGGGAGGAGGGGAAGGAAGACTTTGTGGTTAACTCAAAAATCACCTTGCTTGAATGCTCCTGCCGTGTGGCTGACTGCAACAGCTAGCGGGCCATTTCGATGGGTAAAATAAAAACAGAAACGAAAGGGGGGAGGCGGTGGGCGGTGGATGGGGAGGAGGGGAAGGGGGGCGGTGGGAGGAGTGGAGGGAAGATGGGACGGAGAGATGCGGAGAGAGGGAGCGCGGGAGAAGAGGGTTGGGTTAGGGTGGTGCTGGAGCTCACCTGTCGCCTGAGCCTTCGGCCACAACCGGCTTTTCATCTTAATACGGTTGTGGCCGAAGGAGAGGGTTGGGTTAGGGTAGTGCTGGAGCTCACCTGTCGCCTGAGCGCCCCCACCTCCGCCTCTGCACGTCTGGCCTTCACCTCCCACGCCTCCTGCTGCATGCTCGCGCTCTCAAGGGTCTCGCTCAGCTAATAACGGGGATATGGGGATGGGAACGTGGAGGCGAGAGGAGTGGCGAGCGCAACGGGTGGAAGGGGAACTATGAAGAAAAGGCGTGCAAGGGTGGGTGGCGCTAAGAAGAGTGAACAAAAGAACGGAACGAGCAATTCGGCATTTGCCTAGGAGTTGTTTGGGGAACGTTGTCAACGTGGGCAAGAGAGCTTTTGAGACGTCTCAAAAGTTGTTTGGGGAACGTTGTCAATGTGTGCAAGAGAGGCATGGAGGCGTCTTAGCCGTGCTGCATAAGGCCATTTCAACTCCTCCATGGGCTCATTTCAACTGCATGGGCTCACCTCAGTAATGCACTCAGTTGCATCATCCGCAGTAACAGGTGCTGCAGCCTTTCTCCTTGCTGTTGCTACTTCTGCTGTCAGCCCTGGCTCGACCAATCGTGTTGCGCCTTCAGGAACCTGTGTTGCCGGTGGTGCCGGTGGTGGTGGCAGCAGCAGCACCGGCAGCCGAGTCCGCGGCACCACTGCCCCCCCGAAGGCAGCTACTGCATCACCATGCACACACTCACGCCCATCCCCCCAGTCCGCATCACGGAGGCTAACCGCAGGAGAAGCCTCAGGGACAGCGAGAGGGTGCAATGAACGAGCAGTGCAATCGCTTCTGTGGCCATCGTACCCTCCACTGCCAGCCGTTTCAGTCGACCCGGAACGTGAGTCTGTGATCTCCACCCCCTCCTCTCCTTCCCCACTCGCCCGGTCCGACTCTGTGCTGCTGGTGCTCTCACCACTCCAGCCACCACCACCATGATCATGACTCCACCCATCATCTCTCTCGCCATCAGCATCAGCATCAGCATCAGCATCAGCGTCAGCGTCAGCATCAGCGTCAGCATCAGCGTCAGCATCAGCATCAGCATCAGCATCAGCGTCAGCATCAGCGTCAGCATCAGCGTCAGCATCAGCGTCAGCGTTAGCATCTTTGGAACGCAATGAGCTCAACAGCTCCATTCCTCCCATAATCATCTTGCCTCCTGCCACCTCTCTACCACTCGCTCCACTCCCTCTAATCATCGCCAGCAACCCTTCCCCATCTTCCTCCCCTTCCTCCTCCTCTTCCCCTTCCTCTTCCTGCTGCCCCTCTTCCTCCTCATCCTCGTCCTCCTCTCGATCCACTTCCTTCCATTCCTCCACAGCTTTCCCCTCTATCCCTCCCGCCTCCCACCCCTCCAGCCTCTCACCCCCCTCCCCTCCACCCTCCTGCGCCTCCTGCTGCCGTGCTGCAACCTCCCTCACTCCCACCGCACATTCCTCCCGCCTCCTCTTCCTGCCGCCCACGCACCCCTCACTGCTACCAGGTTCAGGCCGTGCTTCTGAAGGCAGTGAACGCTGTGGGGAGAGCTGGGGGAGAGGAGAGGAAGGCAGCAGCCCCTGTGGGGAATGCTGCAGGTGCGGCTGAGGAGGTGATTGGTGAAAGAACCGCACCAGCTGTGCTGTAGATGCCGGCTGAACAGCGGTAGGTGCCGGCTGAACAGCAGTAGGTGCCGGCTGAAGAGCAGTAGGTGCCGGCTGAAGAGCAGTAGGTGCCGGCTGAAGAGCAGTAGGTGCCGGCTGAAGAGCAGTGACTGGGTGTTGAACAGCAACGAAGCAGAGGTTTCGAGCCCAGTAATCCCCCCCCTTCCTCCCTGCTGTGCCGTTCTCTCCGTCTCGTGTCCCCATGCCATCTCGTGCCGCTGCTACTGTCAACTGCGTTTGGCTTGCAGCATTATGCCCGTCCCGTACCTCATTCGGTACTTCTTCCTTTGTTTCCTCCCCCCCATCCTTTTCCTCCTTCCATCCCTTCCGCTCCTCCCTATCTTCCTCTCCCCGCTCACTACTGCCTCCCTTTCCCTCCTCATCATCCCCTTCCCTCTCGTCTCCCCTCCTCTCCTCTTCCACTTCGCTTTCCGCCCCTGGCCTCTCCAAGTCCTCCGCATCTCCTCTCCCCTGGCCCCCTTCCTCCTCCTCCTCCGCCTCCCTCTCCTCCTCCCCCTCCGCCTCCCTCTCCTCCTCTTCCTCATCATACGTCTTCCCCCCATCACGGCTATCACCGAATGCCACACCCATTTCTTCCTCATCCGCCTCCTCTCCCTCCCCTACACTCCCCTCTCCTCCGGTGCCCCCAAAGTCGAACCCATCACCTCCACCATACTCCCCTCCTCCCCCCTCACTCGCTTCATCTTCCCACTCCTCCTCCTCCCTAAACAAGCACGCCTTTCCCGTTATCTCCTCTCCATCTGAAACCACGTGTCTTCCCCTTATTCCCCCGACTCCCCCGACTCCCCCGACTCCCCCTACCCCTCTCACTCCCCCCAGCAGCACCTCCCCGGAATCCCCACTATAAGCCCCTTGTTCCCCAGTACCATCCCTGCCCCCACCGCCGCCACAGCCACCACAACCACCATCAATACCGCCAGCACTAGCAACAGCGCCATCCTCCTCCTCCTCTTCCACGTCAGCAGCAGAGGATGCCACGTCAAGAGCGACCATGTCCAGCCTGGCAAGGTCCAGCCCCGGTTCAATGGGCACGTGAGACGGTGACCCCATCGCATCCTCCTCCTCATCCGCATTGCTCTGCGAAAACGCATCCTCCCCTGCTTCCCCTCCACCCATACCCATGCCCATGCCCATGCCCATCCCCATACCGATCCCCATCCCCATGCCCACGCCCATGCCCATGCCTGCACCCATGTGCCCAGCCTCTGACACGGTTTCTCTGTCTCTGTCTCTGTCTGCCGCGCCCCTGCGTGCTCGCATCTTGGCCAGGCGTGTGAGGCCATTCCACCCGCCGAACGCCGCAGCTGCAGCCACCATTCCACTGCCCAGCCCCGACCACATGCCATCCGTGCCCCTTCCCGACTCGTCCCTTTTCGTCTCCTCTTCCCCTCCTGCTGCTACCACCGCCGCTCCACCCTCTCCTCCTCTCTCTGCTCCTCCCTCTCCACCTCCCTCTCCTCCCTCTCCTCTCTCTTCTCCACTCTCCTCTCCATTACCAGGCCTTTGCCCCAACCCACCACGCACCTCCCGTTCCCCTCCCTTCCCACCCGTCAACCTCTCACCACCTGCTTCTCTGCTCTCCTCCGCACTACTCACCGGTACCGCTGACATCACCCCATCGTCTCCCCTTGCTCCTATTTCTCCGCCCTCGCCTCTGCTGCCTCTCTCGCTCATCCCCGTCTCCCCCGTCTCATCCCCCTCCGCCTTCGCCCTCACCTCCCCCCATGTGCACTCCTCCTCAATCGCTTGCACCTCTGCTTCCCCCTTTTCCTCCCGCCGCACTGGTTTCTCCCCTTCCCCAATGTCCTCTCCGCCCTCCGCACCACCCTTCCCCCCACCCGCGTCTAGCCGGCTCTCACCCCAGAGCCTCCTGTCATCTCCCTCTTCCACACCTTCCTCCTCCCTTTCCCCGTCCCCTTCCTCCTCCAATCCCTCCCCTTCCCCCATCCCCTCGCCCTCCCCCTCCGCCTCTCGCTCCCCCTCCTCCTCCCCCTGCCTCTCCCCCGCTAGTACGTCCGCCTCCTCTGCAAGCAATTCACTTCCCGCGTCTCCGCCGTCCGCGCACGCGCCCCTTGCGCCGCTGCCCCCCCACGCCCACCCGAACAGGCGAGGGGAGGACGAGGGGTCGCGGACCAGCGATAGGGGGAAGGCGAACGGTCCCTGCATGGAGGAGGGTAAAAAGGGGGGAAGGGAAGGTCGGAAAGGAGGGGGGAGGCGGGATAGCGGTGGGAGGAGGGGGAGGGAAAGGGGAGGGAATGGGGAGTGAAAGAAGAAAGAAAGGTAAAGTAAAGGGGAGGGAAATGGGAGGGAAAGGGGAGGGAAGTGGGAGGAAAATGAGAGGGGGAAGACGGGGAAAAAATAAAGAAACAGATGTAAAGGAGAAGCAAGGGAAGAAGGGGTAATCAAGGCATGTAGTCTGTGCCTGCGTGCGTGTGCGTGTGTGCGCTGGGGTGTGCGCTGGGGTGTGCGCTGGGGTGTGCGCTGGGGTGTGCAGCGCAAGCCTTAGCATGATCGCAGCACCGTTCCTCTCTCACCTCTAACGATGACGTCACACTCGCAACTCCCTGACTCCCACCATCCCACTCCTGCCCCGCGCTTCCCCTCACCCTCACCCCGCCATCTCCGGAATCCCACACGCTCCCCGCGCCCCTGAACCACCCCGCAAGCCCCCATTCCGCGCTCGCCCCTAATCGCAACAGCTCCCCCGCCAATCCCTCCGCCTTCAACTCGCCTCCACCTCCGCTTTCCCCTTCGCTGCATCCTCCGCCTTCCTCTTCGGCCTCCGTTCCGCCACCCACTCCGCCTCCCTCTCCGCCTTCCCCTCCGCCTTCCCCTCCGCCTTCCCCTGCGTCGCTTGAGTCATTTCTTGCGTCGCTTGTGTCACCCGTGGTTTCATCCCCCACAGCAACACCGTCGTTACCACTGCCATCCACAGGGGCAACAGTCGTAGCACCAGCGGTAGTAGCGTCAGCACCACCACCACCACCGCCGCCGCCGCCGCCGCCACCGCCACCGTCGCCAGCGCCACTGCCGCCGTCATCCCCTTCAGCTGCTACTGCTGCTGCGGCTGCGATAAGTCCGCTCACGCACCCCCCTTCGTCGTCGCTCTCCTGCCCAGTGGCAGAAAGAGGGCGTGGAGGCGGCGGGGAGGCGCGCGGAGCGAAAGCCGCGGACAGAGCGGAGATGGGGGCTAAGGGGAACGCGGAGTTTAGGGGGAAGCCGAGGCTTGAGGGGAAGGCGGAAACGAGGGGATCTTCGGGGGGGATGAAGGAAACAGCGGGTGGTATAGGGTCCGCGGAAGGGACGGGGCTAGTGGGGGAGGAGGTGGAGGGGCTGGGGGCGGCGGAAGGCAAGAGGGGGATATCATCGGGGGATTCGGGGCATGCGAGGAGGACGGGGAAGGCGAATGGTGCGTCAATGACTGCGGGCGGCGGTGCAGATGAGCTGCTATCGTGGTGTGCTCTGATCGAATTGCCTGAGGTGCTGTTGGTGGTGGTGACGGTGGTGCTACTGGTGGTGGTGGTGGTGGGTTTTGTGTCATGGCACCTCACCAATCCCCTCCTCGCATCACACCTCTCACCCAGCCACGAACCCTTCTCCCCACCTCCCTCCTCCCCCTCTCCCTCCTCCTCTCCCTCCTCCTCCTCCTCCTCCGCCGCCTCCTCCTCCCCCTTCTCCCCTTCCCCTTCCCCCTCATACCATGTCGCGGACTGACCCTCACCCTTTCCACCATCCTCCCCCCCAAACTGCCGCCCATCCTGCACCTCACAATCCTCCCTCTCATTCGTCCCTCCACCCCCTTTATCTTCTATCACCTCATCCCTCCCTGCCCCTGCCCCTTCCCCATCCCCTGCTCCTGCCCCCGCCTCTATCCCCGCCTCTTCAGCAACCGCATCCTGCTCGCTCTCCGCGCTGCCCTCCTCCCCCGCGCCGAACATGGGGTTCACCCAGCTCACCGTGCGCACGCCGGCGGGCATCGCGCTACCACCGCCCGCGACCTGCTGCTGTCCGCCCAGCGGCGCGGGGAAGCGGACGGGAGAGAGCGACTTTTGAGGCGTGTCAAGTGTCACTGGCGCCGGGAAGCGCCCGGGAGCGGGCGGAAGGCGCGCGGTTGAAGCTGCCTCATGCGGGGCTGTTCCCGCCAGCAGAGGCGGAAGGGGAGGGGGAGGAAGCGAGGGCAGAGAGGGCATGAAGGGAAGGGGGGTTATCGGGTGGCGTGGTGGAGGGGAGCCAGATGCGGGGCGGGAGGAAAACGCAGCGACGGAGGATGGCGTAGTGCCGGAAGGAGGGAGAGATGGAAGGGAAGGGGACGCCGGAGCGGCATCTGGTCGACACAGCAAGCCGCGCGCCGTGGGGTTCGCGGTGCCTGCAGGTGTTGCTGCGGAGCTCGACGGTTGATCAGGGAAGAAACCCGTCGCGAGACTCTTAGTATTCTTACGTTCAGCATCGTCCGCCAACTTCCTTCCGCCGTAGTGGCAGCTGCTGCCGCCGGCACTCAGCCCACCGTTACCGCAGGCGCGCGCATCCGCGTCCTCGTCCGGCGCAGCAGTCGGAGCTAGCGCCCCTGCGGCCGCCCTCGGCACCGCGGAGACGCCACTGGCGGAGTCATCTCCGCGTCTCGCATGCCGCGGGCAAGCGCCGGCGCTTTCGCCCGACGCTGCCGCCGCGGCGGCGCTCGCCGGAGCTACTAGTAACGATGCTGCGGTCCCTCCTGATACCGCAGAGACGGAAGGAGCATGTCCTTGCGTGACCAGCGGAGAGATAGTGGAAGCGGCGGTGGGTGCTGTCGACGTGGGTCCGTGAGTGCTGGAGTGATCTATTGCAGACTTTGAGTGAGGCGCCCCATGGGCCGCAGCGACAGCCGCGTTCCCAGTCGCAGTCGCAGTCGCAGTCGCAGTCGCAGAAGGCTTGGCAGCGGAAGCGGCAGCGGCGACGACTTGCACCTTCTCCTTCAGTTCCCGCAGACGCGCGAGGCGGGAGATGACAGAAGGCCGCTGCGGCGTGGACGTGTGTGCCGTGTCCGCGTCCACGGCCATAGCATCTAGCTCCTCTTCCCCCTTAAATCCCGCTTAGTCCACGCGATTAATTTGACCCCTTAGCTCCCCACTTCTTAGATCCCGCTTAGATCACACGACAGGGGAGGATTGGGGGCGGTAACTCGACTACATGGACCCCACTCCCCACCCCTTCCTCCTTAGATTCCGCTTCTGTGCTCGCGTGGCGGAGTCAGTGACTGGTCGAGAGGGCGGGTGTTCAGGGTCGGCTGTTCTTGAACAATATTGCATCAAGTCGGTCGGTAGCGGGCAGCGTATAGCCTTCGACTAGACAGTGGCTAACGGGCGCGATTTTATAATGGACGGAATGCGTGCGGACTTAGAATTTTATTTGAGAGGCTGGCAGTCGTCACGAATCAGTCTGAGGTAAGCGCATGCGAGGTGATTGTTTTAATGGCTTCTTCTGTTAACTAGCGCGCCTTTCATGAACCTAGGACTATCTCTTCTGTGTCCACCAACGGATAAAGCCACAGCTTTTCGAGAGAAGATGCGTATCGGAAAGTCGCGTACGGAAAGGATAGGGAAGGAGTTCGGTCGACTCCAAGGTTGACCAGGACAGGGGCTGAAATGGGCTGTGCAGCGCAATTTTCATGCGGCTCGATTTGGTCCTTGACAAGCGAGGTGTGGTTTGGGGGGGGGCGGCAGGGCAGAGCAACTGCAATCCACAACATTCTGGTGTGATTTCTCGGATTCCAACTTCCAATGTTGAGAAAAGTGCGCTCCGTGACGCCACCTCTCGCGTCGCGAGAGCTGGTAAACCACTTCCCCGGCAATGCACGCCTCTCTGCCGCTAGCTGTTGGGGGAGAATTTTCGAGCCGCGTATGAGGACCCGTTTGAGAAAGGCAACAGCCACAGGTTTCCTACTTCGGCTCGTCGGAAAGTCTCGGACGACTGCTGAAATATACCGACGTTCGTCTGGTACTTTGTTAATGTCCAGCTGTAGGGGCCAAAGTATGAATCTTTGTGTCGAGAAATGAACTTCCTACGTCAACGACGAGAACGAGCTTTCAAATCTTCCAGAACTAACGGCCCCACAAACCTGGTTTTTGGCGGCCACTTGAATGGGCAGTTAAACATAAATCGTGATACAGAATTTGCATGGAGTGTAGACTTAGGCTGTATAAATAAAGTAGCACTAGGGAAAAAATATGGAATGTAGGTGGTGTGATTCTTTTTCCCGTCGTCGCACTTGGATCCTCGGACGCTACCCTGCATGCAATAACATGTGCTTAGTAGTTCGTGATGGTAATAAACACGGTACATCCAAATCCAAAAGAGCTTAACATTTTTAACTTCCCAGAATTCCTGGAACATGATCTGGAAAAAAAATGTTTTCTCTTTGGCGTATTTATTACAGCACGATCAATATGGATGAATATTTAAATCTTCACTAATGATTGATTTCTTATGTATATCAACCACTACATGTAACATCCCCTGTTTCGGAAGGCTGGGGAGCATACCGTACTAGGGAGTACAATTTCCTTCTCAACTAACCACCAGGGCTCTCGGTATCAGGGTAAACACTCTGAAACTCAGGTACATTCCGTACGTTTTTTCGGCTAATCCTGATTCATCAGAATCGTTCTAGAAATCATCCGGACAATTTCCGGATGATTTGGCTGAGCGTTCGGGACTTCAGTATTGTTTCTAAAACAATCCTGATATTTTATCTCGGTACTAGTTCTTGTGTAGGATGTCGAATGCAACGATGCCCATAAGTGCTATCAGACATAATGCAAGTTTCAGGTTTGTTGGTCCTTGCCCATCGAACTTAGACGTTTTAGAGCCTCTTGGGCCTGGTGTGATAGAACTGCACTTGTTCATTTTCGGATTTCTGGAAAAACACACTGACGCGGAAGGGTAACTTTCGAGGGAATGCTGATTCTTCAGGGTCTTTTCTCAGGCGAACCCGGAGCCTTCCGTGCCTTTAAAAACGAAAGATTTGCCCTGCTAACCACCCCTCCCAGAGCTCAACGAATTCCGCCCCTGGCCGGCATTCATGCACCTTCCCGAATCCCGTGCCCAGTCTGTGCCCCGTTGACCTAGCTTCTCACACGTGGTGTCATCATCGCCCTACCGCGAAATCCAAGACACAAGCACAGGTGCTTCACAAATTTTGATACGAAACTTGCTGCTTCCGTTCCGCGCGTCTTCCGGCCTGCATGACACCGACGACCCGAGGGTGAGGCTCGCTCAACAGCGCCACGCTCGGTTTCTTTAGGCGCCTCAAAATTATTTAGACTTGCGTAGCTGGGCCGCTCCCCTCTCGGCATGCCCTCGAGTGACCGCGAGGCGGAGGCCTCCCGCCTCGTCCCGTCGCCCCCCGACGATCCCTCAGAGGAAAGCAGCTTTGCCGGCGGCAGACCATCCGCGCACGAGCCGGCAGACGAGCCGGCAGACGAGGCGGCAGACGCGATGGAGGACGGCAGCAGTCTACTGCGCAGCGACGGGGACTCGGCTGGAAGCGCGGGCGGCGGGCGTGGCGGAGGCGCATCCTCCTCGTCCTCTTCCTCCGCGCTCCCCGCGTCGTCGAGTCGCGCGCGCCGCCCCATGCAGGTGGAGCGGCACGACGACTTGGAGCCGCGGTCGCGCCTGTCGTCGCTGATAGACGCGGCGAAGCGCAATCGGCTGTCGTTCGCGGCGGTGGCGGCGGCCGCCGTGGTGCTCCTGGGCTGGATGCTCTCCGCGCTGCTCGCGGGCCTCCTCTCCCCGCCCGCCTCCGACTCTTCAGGTACCAATCACTGCTGCCGCTGCGGCCGTTGCTGGCCGCTGCTGCTGCTGCTGCCCCAGCGGTCACTCTTAGTACATCTCACTCGTCCAAATCTCATGATATATAATATATTTTCACCCTCGAACAAACCTCAATCTATTTCCCGTCCCCTTCCTCCGACCCCTTTTTCCGCCCGCCTTCCCCCTTCCCACCACCCTTTTCCCCCCCTTATGGCCTCCGCCCCTCCCCGCATGCGTCGCGTGCTTATCCCTGCAGGCAGCGGAGTGTCGGCGGTAGCAGCGGCGTGGGGAGAGGAGGAGGGGGTGCTGCGCGCGGCGGATGAGGGCGCGGGGAGCGCGGGGGGGCGGTGTGCGGTGTACACGTTCTTTGACCTGAACAGCGTGCAGGGGAAGCTGGAGGACGAAGAGAAGTGCGTGAGCGTGGGGGTTGCTGGGGTGAGGGGACAGAGAGGGTGTGAGGGGGGAGGGGGGGGGGGGGGGGGGGGGGGGGGGGGGGGGGGGGGGGGGGGGGGGGGGGGGGGGGTGTTGTGTGGGAGGGGGTGTGGGGGAGGGGGGTGTGGGGGAGGGATTTGTGAGGGAGGGGTTGTGAGGAATGGAGGATATGGGAGGGGATGTGAGGGAGCGGGTCTGTGAGGGGGTGTGTGCGAGGGAAAAGGGAGGGGCGGAGAGAGCGAGTGAAGGAGAGAAAAGCATGTGAGGGGATGGGGGTGGGGGAAGGGAAGAAAAGGGTTAATGAATGGTCCCTCGCTCACACAGTCTCGCTTCTACAATCTCACCGATCGACTTCCACCCACTAACCCTTGCAAATGCCTTTTGCCACACCAGCTCACTGACCCTCCTACACCAGCTCACTGACTGACCCTCCTAAACCATTCCCCCCCTCCCCTTCCCCCTCCCAACCAACCCTCTCCCCCCCCTCTGCAACTCAACCCGTCGCCTGCCCCTCGCAGGCTGGTGACGTCATGGCAGCTGAGCTGGCAGCGGGCGGGGTGGGCACCCCAGGTGCTGCAGAAGAAGCATGCGGGGCGGCACCCGCTCTTCCCCAACCTGCAGCAGCGCGCCAAGGCGGGCAACTGGGTGAGTGAGTGAGTGAGTGAGAGAGAGAGAGAGAGTCGGCACATGGGATGGGATGGGACTTGGGTGTGTGAAATGAGGCAGTCCAGTCCGGGAAGGAAGGACGAAATGGTTGCTGGCTGGCACGACGTATGACAGTCGAGTCGAGCCAGAGTCCAGTCGTCCTAGTCCGACTAGTCCTCCCTAGTCCTCACCCTCACCCTTACCCTACCCTCATAGTCCTCACCCCACGCCGTTCACCCTACCCTACCCTCCGCACATTCCACCCACTGGCGTCCCGCCCCCACACTCACCCATGCCATGCCCATCCATGCAGGAGTTCATGCGATGGCTCGCCATGGCAGTGTCAGGGGGCGGGCTGTACGCACACTACACTGTCATCAACCTCGGCCTGCCGCCGCCGTGCTCACCCCACGCCGCTCACCCCACGCCGCTCACCCACGAACACCCCACCCACCGGCATCCCACCCTACTGCGCCCCTCGTTCACCCGCTGCGTGCGTGCAGGGGTTCATGCGATGGCTCGCCATGGCAGTGTTGGGGGGCGGGCTGTATGCACACTACTCTGTCATCAACCTTCGTTCTGCCGCCGGCCCTCACCCCACATCCCTCACCCCACACCCCTCGCCCCACGCTCACTCCTTTCACTGCGTGCAGGAGTTCATGCGATGGCTCGCCATGGCAGTGTCAGGGGGAGGCCTGTACGCACACTACTCTGTGATCAACCTCGGCCTGCCGCCACCGCCCCGCTGCTTCCAGTCCGCACTCACCGCTTTCGGGGTATGTATGGGAGAAGCTGACTTTGGAGTCATCCCAACTCAAAAGTCCTTCGGGCTATGGTATGGTATGGTATGTATATGAAGTGACAAGAACACGCCATGTGTATGGAAAGAACACGCAATTCCGCTTCGTCTTTACATGGATGATGGATGGGTATGGCATGGCAAGATCGCATCGTCGTGTGATTCTTCCTTCTCCTTTGCTCTCTGGCTACCCAGTTTTCCCAGTACTCACCTCAACCATCATGCGCGTGTGGTGTGTCCGGGAATCCTCAGGGGTTTTGGTTGGATGCACTTGCTGTGACTTTTGAGGCGCCCCAAAAGTAGCCTCAGGGGCTTTGGTTGGATTGGATGCACTTGCCGTGTATCGAACCCCTCCAGATCATTTCCATTCCATCTCACAGCATACATAGCATCTCTCCGTTCCTGTAACTCTCGCTCCCCATCTCCGTCTCCCTCTCCCTCCCCCTGTCCATCCCCTTCCCCCTCCCCTTCCCCTTCCCCCTCCCCTTCACCCTCCCCGTACCCTTCCCAACCCCCTGCTCCCAGGACTCCTCTACCCCATCACTAGTATCCGGCAGCCCGCACAACTTTGTGGCTCTCGCACGCTCCTCCCTGCTGCCGTCCGGTGCTGACCTGGCAGCCGCCCGAGGGCTCCCGGTGCCACGTGGCATCGTGCAAGTGGGCCAGAGCACAGCGAGATCGCTGCTTGTGCCAGGCCGGCTCAAGGTGCTGCTGCGGTTTGTCTGAAATTATGTTGATCGCTACTTGTTGCTTCAAGGTGTCTCGCTTCAGCTGCTGCCACTGCCACTGCCACTGCTGCTGTTGCTGCTCATCAATGTTGACCGATTTCTCCCTCCCTCACCTTCTCCCTTCCTCCCTCCCTCCCTCCCTCCCTCCCTCCCTCCCTCCCTCCCTCCCTCCCTCCCTCCCTCCCTCCCCTCCCTCCCTCCCTCCCTCCCTCCCTCCCTCCCTCCCTCCCTCCCTCCCTCCCTCCCTCCCTCCCTCCCTCCCTCCCTCCCTCCCTGCATCGCTCCTCTGCAGCACCTTCGCGCAGTCTGTTTTGCGCCTCCTCAAAATCACACTCTTCCCTCCTCCCCCCTCTCCTCCACCCCCCCCCTTCCCACTCCTACAGAAGCGCCCCTGGCAGCAGGCCACATCGCTGCTCTGCAGCACCTTCGCGCAGACCACAGAGTTCCAGGCCGTGTCCCTGCCATCGCTGGGCGGCATGCAGTCCGCTCTAGAGGACCTCAAGCACTGGATCCGCCTCTGCACCACACACACCACGCCCTTACTCCTCTCCGACCACGTCCCCTCCCACCTCCTCCCCTCCTCCACTCCCTCCTCCTCTGCCTCCTCCTCCGCCTCCTCCGCCTCCTCCGCTCCCCTCTCGCCCTCACCCTCCCCCTCCCGCTCGCTCACCTACTTCCTCCTCCCGCACCACGCATCGCTCTACTTCGCAGCAGATTACGAGAAATACCACATCGACCCCACCACGGGCGCACCCCAGTGGATGCGAGACAGCTACGGCGCAGGCAACGTGCCGACCGGGCTCACATACAGCGAGTTCCTCATCATCCTCACCAACGCGCTCATGGGAAAGAACCCTGACAAGGACAGCGACCCGCATCTGGATGATAGGCTGTCGAGGGGGCTGGCGTCGGTGCTGCATGTGGGCATGGAGGAGGTGGCTGAAGAGGTGAATGCTCGCAGTATGTTTCTTGCTGCTGACTCTGCTGCTGCTGCTGGTGGTGGTGCTGATGCTTCTGGTGCTGGTGGCGGTGCCGGTGCTGGTTCCACTGATGCTGATACTGCCGAGACTGCTGATGCCGATACTGCTGATGCTGCTGAGGGTGGTGCTGCTGATTTTGATTCTGCCGCTGCTGCTACCACCACCAGTCGGCCCCTCTCTCCCTCCTCCTTCACCCCCAACCTCATCTCGTTCGGTCGCTTCGACGAGCCGCACCTCTCCATCCCCGTTTTAGAGCTCTCGCTCGGCTTCCTTCTAGAGGACCAGGCGCGGGGCGAGCTGGAGGAGGCGATAGGGCGGGTGTGGGAGGGCGTGGGGCACTTTGTGGGCGCGGTGCACGGGGAGGCGAAGGAGGAGATGGAGCGGCACAGCCGCGTGGACGAGAGAGTGCTGGCTGTGGTGGATGGGCGGTTCAGACAGGCTGTCAGTGTGGCTCAGGCTCTGGACGTGTGAGGGGAGGGATGGGGGAACGAGGGAGGGGGGTGAGGAGGGGAGATGAAGGAGATGGGTGGGTGGACGATGGTAAGGGAAGGGAGGCTGAGGCAAGAGCGGCATGAGAAGGTTTGGGTGGGTGCTGAGCTGAGTCATAGGAGAAGGAAGGATTCAGGGGAGGGGAGCCCTGGGGAAGGACAGGGGAGATGTGGGCAGATGGGAGGAGGAGGTAGATGGATGCATGATGTGTGGGTGGAGCAAGGGTTGTGGGTGTGTGGATATGGGGTGTGACCGTGTGGTTCCATGGGGTGTGGGTGGGGTGTGGGCATTTCGGGTATGAAACAGAATCACCTGGGGGAAGCAGTTCTGTGCGATGCCAAGAGAAGATACTGAGGGTGGGAGATCATATACTTATGACCTGACCAGCTTTATGGGAGGTTGTATGCAGCATGTACCGGTACCTTCTGGGTGCAGCGATTCTGATCTGACCAGCTCTATGGATTTGGGTCACCTGTCTGTGTGGGTGGGTGGGTAGTCAGTCAGGCATCGTGTCATGTCATGCTGACATGCCATGCCATGAATGACAGATGCAAGGAACCAATTTTCCCCTCCCTGGTTTCTCTCTATGAAACGTACCAGTAACACTTAATCCTGTATAGTTCACGTCAGGTGCTTAATCCTGTTTCCTGATTCCTGATTGCACAGACCAGCCATTTCCACGTGGAACAATTAAGTAGACTGCATCTGCATTGTGTTTGAGTGCACTACTTGGTTACAGCTTCACAAAATAGGTACCATGATATGATATTAAATGATACGATACAATATGATATGGTATGTTATGAATATGACACGTGGACGGCTAAGAAACCTCCTCGGCCCTGTGCACAGAATGAGTGCATAGCCTCCTACTTGCCCCAGCACTGACTCAGCCAAAGATGGTTGTGGTCGACATTTTCTTCTCCCCAACAGAGTCAGTAGGCCACTCCCTGAACTCCCTTGCTCCCTTTCCCCAATGCAGAACCAACCTGCTTCTATCCTTGGTTACTTGGTCCCCACTTCCCCCCACACCCCCCACCCACCCCAATCAGCCCACCCCACTCCCATTCACTTCCCTTTCCCCCCCCCCCCCCCCCATCCTCTCCTCCACCGCACCTCACCCCTTTCACCCCTCCCTTCACTCCACCTCAACCCCCAGCATCCACCCGTACCCCCCTCAACCCCTACCCCCAATCATCCACGACCACAGGTCACCCCCACCCCCACCCCCAGCCCCACCCCCAGCACCGGCACCTGCACCTGATGCTCCTGCCTCTGCACCTGGCCCCCCTCCTCGCACCCCTGTTCCCTGATACCCCCCCTGCGCACCACCCATCTCCTCATCACCACACGCACACCCTGCTTCCCCATGCATCAAACTCACACCTTCCATTCCCACCCTCCCATTCCCCAACCCACCCACCTCTCTGTTTCCCCTCATCATCCTGCTCTGCCCCCCACCACTACTGTCCCTCCGTTCCCTCCCTTCCCTCTCCTCCCTCCACTCCCTGCCCTCCCTTCCCCCCTTGCCCTGCTGCTCTTCCTTGCTGCAGGCAGAGCTATCGCGAGACAGCCACAGGTGGGGGCCAATCGCATCGTCATCCGTGTCCGCATCCTCGTACTCGTTATAAGCCTGTCCAGAGAACAGATGGTCCACTGTGAGTGTAGCAGAGCGTGTAGCCATACTCATATCCCGGCTGAATCCTGAGACTAGCCCACTTTCCTCCCCAGCCTCCTCTTCCTCCTCTTCCTCCTCCTCTTCCTCCTCTTCCTCCTCCTCTTCCTCCTCTTCCTCCTCCTCTTCCTCCTCCTTCCTTTCCTCCTCCTGTTCCTCCTCCTCCTCCTCCTCCTCCTCCTCCTCCTCCTCCTCCTCCTCCTCCTCCTCCTCCTCCTCCTCCTCCTCCTCCTCCTCCCCTTCGCTCCTTTGCATCCCGTCTACCCCAGGACTGGACAGGTGCTCAGTTCCAAACCTATGCATTTGCTGCTCCGCTGCTGCACCCACACCCGAATGCACACCCGAATGCACACCCGAATGCACACCCCCCTGCTCTACTCCCCCTTCCATGGCATGCCACGTCACTCTACGCTCCAGTGTGTGCTGCCTCATTTCAACACCCCCATCGTCCCCAGCTACCCCTGCCTCCCCTTTCTCCCTACTCTCTCCCTCCTCCCCCTCTCTCTCGCCCCCACTCTCCGCCCGTGCGCGGCCCCTAATGCTCTCCATCACCCGTCCCTTCCAGGAAGGTGCAGTCCTCAGTCGTCTCAAACCAGGACTCCAGTCCAGCACAGATGGAGCAGCAGCAGCACCACCACCTCCACCAGCAGCAGCAGCAGCACCACCACCAGTAGCAGCAGCGGCAGCACCAGGGGGGGTCCCAGCGAATGCACTTGGAGAGGAGGACATTACCGCAGGGACCCCAGCCAGGCGCATCCTCACGTTCCTCCAATTCCACGGGCTGCTGCTAGTCGCACCACCAATACCACCACCAATACCACCACCGGCCCCAGGCCCCTGCTTCTGCATCTCCCGCTCCATATCTCGTCTCACCTCCCTCTGCATTTCCGTCTGCACGCCTGCCAGCCATTTCCTCCCACTGCCTCCCGGACCTCTCGCTGCTCGCCTCTTCTCTGCCTCCGCCCGTCTCACCTTCCTCACTTTCTTTCCCTCCACCTCCATGCCCGCACCACCCTCTCCACCTCCCTCTCCCCCTCCCCCTCCCCCTCGCCTCCTATCTTTCTCCTTCTCACTGAACGCCTTCCTGAGCCCCCGGTGCATGCTCTCCCTCAGACTCCGCCTCTCATACCACCTCGACGCACTCCCACCACACGCATGCTCCCCTCCCCCCACCTCCTCCCCTTTAACCCCCCCACCTCCACCACCACCACCACCACCACCGGCACCACCACCATCCCTTCCATTCCTCCCAATACCACTCGCTTTACCACAATCACCACTCCCACCACCACCAACCCCACCACCACTCCCACCAACATCACCACCAACAGCAACCCCATCAGCACCACCAGCAGAAGCACTACCAACCCCTTCCAGCAGCTGCTTCCGGATACCCATCAGCCGCCCCAGCACCTTGCTCATGCACGGCCGCGCCCGCTCCTTGTCTGCCGTGCACCGCATTGCAACGCGCACCACCGCCGCCACTGCTGCCGCCTCCGCTGCGGCCACCCGCGCCACGGTTCCACACACAGCCACCTTCTCATCAAAACTGCTGCTGCCCTGCTCCCCGTTCCCCGCTACGATCTCCTCTGCTGCTCCTCCTTCCCCCGCTGCACCAGGATAAGCCGCACTGCCATCCAGCCTCGCTAGGCGTCCCAGCAACTCCCTCAGCTGCTGCTGCCCGTCCACAGGGCGCACACTCACATTCGTCTCTACAGCTAGCAGCTCTTTCGCCACTTCCTGTGTGAGCTCCGTAGGCGAATTCCCCTGCTGCACCCCTGAGCCCTCATCGCCCCACACCCTCAGGCGCGGGTCTGCCAGCAGCCGCGGTTCCCGTGCCTGCAGCAGCAGCAGCGCCCACAGGCGAATGGGGAGAGCGGAGAACGCAGGGACAGAGGCCGCTGGTGCAGCCTCACCAGCTGCTGCAGCAGACGCACCACCACCGCTACAACCACCAGTGCTACCAGCAGCAGCAGCAGCAGCAGAAGCAGCAGGAGAAGCAGCCGCAGCAGCTAGTGCAAGGTCGTTGGCTCGAGTTACCACCGGCGGCCGCCCTGAAACCAGTTCCAGCAGCATCACTCCTAGGTCGTACACGTCCCTCCAGTGCAACCCAGCCCCACCGCTCCTCACCGCGCCTTCTCCCCCTATCTTCCCTCGCCTTACCCACTCCCCTGCCCTCCCGTCCCCTCCCACTGCCCCGTCTCCTCCCTCGTCCGCCCACGTCCGTCCATCATCCCCCACGGCCCTCATCACACCACTCCCTCCCCCTCCTCCCCCTCCTCCTCCTCCTACCACCCCAGTACACTCCCCACCGCAGCAGCCGCCATTCCTCTCCCAGTCGCCGCTGCAGCAGCACGCGCTACCACTCGTGCACGACGACATGCGGCTCGCATCCCGAGGAATGCCTCCGCCCCACCCGCTGCTGCCGTAACCACCACCACTGCCACTGCCACTGCCACCGCCGCCACTGCCACTCATGGGCGAACCCCAAGCACCACCTGTTGCTGCTGCTGCTGCTGCTGTTGCTGCTGCTACCTGCCCTTGCGCTCCTCGGCTCTCGTACTGCATCTGCTGCTTCTGCCTTATCTCCTGGGGCAGCAGCAGCGAGTCCAGCAGCCTAGCAGGCAGGATCTTGGCCGCTCCCCTGCACTCACCACCACCACCACTACCAGAATCACCATCATCACCATCAGCAGTAGCAGCAGCAGCAGCAGGAGCAGCGTCAGCAGTTAAAGCGGCAGCAGGAGTAGCAGCAGCACAGAGCATGACATGGTGAGAGGACACCCTGCCATGCGCCAGCGGCTTGCTGGCAGCAGTGTGCAGGTACTGCAAGGCCTGGGCCACACCCACTGCTATGTCCAACCGCTGCTGCAGCGATAACCCGGGAGACTCGGCAGCTGCAGAGGCACAAGCGGAGGATGAACAGGGCGGGGGAGGGTGGCTGCTTCTGATGTTGCCGGTGCAGCTGTTGCTGTTCTTGCCAGAGCTTGTAGTCGTATGCAGCACCGAGGCCAGTGTGCTTCCAGCGAGGAACTCAAAAACGAGGATTCGATCGCCCTGCTCCTCGCAGCACCCCACCAGCTGCACCATGTGCTTATGACGAAGCCACGCCACGCGCCTCACCTCCTCCTCTAACCGCACGCTCTCCACACTCACTCTCCTCGCCTCCTCCTCTGCTTCCCTCCCTGCTCCTGCCATCCCTTCTGCTCCCTCCCCTCCTCCCTCCCCTCCTCCTCCCTCCGCTCCTCCTCCCATCCCTGTTGGCCCTCCTCCTGTCCGGCCCAGCCCTCCAACCCTCGCCCGTTTC